AACATCCACTCGCATTTTTTTCCACTCAATCGTCAAAGTTCCCACACTTTCCAACAATAACGCACACCATAGTCTATGTGTATATGTAGATGGCATTCACCGGACACATACGAGCGCGGCTATAACACTTAAAGGATTAATGGTTCAACCATACGAGAACAACGCTGCGCGTTCAATCTGAAACAGCGAATAACAAACGGAAATAAAATAAAGGAAAAGGGGAAAAAATGGGGTCAGCAACGCGGTCAACGTTCGTTCGAAAAGGATTTCGAGCGAAGAAACGAGAAACCCATCGAGATTTACCGTTAAGCGTCAAAGCGTAAAACCACGTGTTCGCGGCGATCTTTGCAACGGGCTTGTGCACTTGCCGCGAAAAAGGAGGAAGGAAAGTGAAAGTATCGAGGGAAACCTTAACAATGTTTCCACGTTTACCGAGATTGTCAAGGTTGCCCGATCAACGCCGAGACTCTGTTAGAATTTTATCTGCCGATCGTTTGAGCGGATGCTTTTTCAAATCGTGTCTGTTATTATCAGCATCGCGGATCGCGCGAAATTACTCATAAACGTAAGGTGACATTTGCAAAGATCGTACAGTGACTCACCAAAGTACTTGAACGGTTATCATAAAAAATTGTTATATTTATATCATATAAAACATGTTGACGTTTCATTAATACTGCAACGAAATACGATCGTCATGATTATATCGGTGAAATTTGAAAGCAATCTGATATTAAATGTTACAGGATACTTGCAACAAAACGGTACAATTTTAGTACGACAATTGAAAAATGAAAAGAACCTGTGAAGTTCAAAGATGCAAATCTTTTAAATACAAGTAACAGATTGCAGATTTTAATTACTAAGCAATATTCTAATATCTTCAATATTTTAATATTATGATGGGTACTACTTTGCAAGTTCTTAAGAATATGAAAGAACACTAAATTTAATAAGAATACTAAATTTAAAACCTGCCTGTCTCCGAAAAATAGAAAATATGACTTATAGCCTTTTCTTTCTATAGTCTTTCTATCCATAAAAAGTTCTTACCAATATTCAAATACCTTCACGATTTACTGTATCTCGCCGATCTATAGATCCTCGTTCGAAGGGATCGATAACCTACTTTGACATCAGCGCTACGAAAAACGCGTGGAATGGTGTCACGTGTCTTTGCGCGGGAATCGTACGATTCTGCGCAAGGACGACGAAGATAGAATCGTTATCGCGCACGCGCGTTGCGGCACCATTGCCGCATATGGCACGCTGTTCTACACGAGGGAATTTGTAATTCAAACGCAAAAAGGATAACACAACGGAACGTATTGAATCAACGAGAAAGAGCGTTTATACAGAACTTTTATTAATGCGATTTACCGTCAGTAATAAATGGACAATGTTCCCGCGACAATACTGCACGCCATATCGATGTAACGCCGGTGTAATTGCCGATAAGATAATCGCGATTAAGCGTTCAGCAGTTAGCTGACGAATTTAATTGCGCGCCTAACCTTATGATATTGAAACAGCTTCTCTAGGCTTTCTGTTTGCTAGACGTACTTCAAATCAAGTTACGTTATATGTCGTAAGAAATTAGAGATTGAGAATTGTCTACCAACAGCTAACTATGTAGTTTCATTACCTTAAATACAGAAGAACTAGTAATTCTGGAAGTAAAAGATTCTTAAAACCTAGCCCTTTCCCTTTTTCGAAAAATTGATGCATTAACGTATTATTAATTTTCGGTATCATATTCTTGAAATTACTTATATACATCCTTCTATATAATGCAGAGTTATCTACCCTTAAACAAAATAAAATAAATAAATAACTGAACTATTATCCACAAAAGAAGAACATTCGCATCACCATCTATTCAATTCTCGTTCCCTCGACAGACTCAAAAATTACTAACCTACTCAACGCAGTGTCCGTATACTGTATGTTCAGACAGCGCCAGTCAAAACCCTATCTCACGCGAAAACGAAGAAAAGAGTATGTGCAATGGTTTGACGGGTTCAAAGATAGGCCCCGTCGAACTACACGGAAATACGATCGATCAAAGATGACCTCCATACAGGCTTCCTTGACAGCGAGAAAATTCACGTGTTCGCAGCCTTATATCGGCTGGATTGGAAGAAAAAAAAGGTTAGGCGCAGAGATCGATCGAAGAAGATTCCGTAGTAAGCGCAATACCGTTCGTGCGAGCAAACTGGTCGGAGGAGTCGTTCCTTCGAGGAAGTGCGGCAAATCTCTCACGGATCTCGAGTTTGCTCATCTTTCGCCGGGATCGAGGCCTGCGTCAAGGACTGCCAGACTTCGAGACGAACGTCCGTGCGCCCGTTCGCTTGTATCGGCGCGTGACGCAACCAGATGCCAGATTCTGCCGGAGGATCGAGTTTTGCGGATGCTACCGGCTAACGGTCGCCTGTGCACACGTTTACCGGGACCTCCGTGGCTTTTTGATGACGTCAGCGTCAGTGAATGGAACGAACGGTGGTTGGAAACGCGACCGATGGAGGCGCGACTTGTCGGAGAGTTTTGATTTATTGTACATCGATCAACAACATTCAATGGATATTTCAGAGCCGAGTACTTCTATTGCCGGCGACAGGCGATTAATATCGTCGTTGTTCTCCGAGGGAAGCTTTTTTACCATCCTTTGTCGATGAAACATCGATGTTTCGATAAATTACGCGTTTGCCGTGAATGGATTTTTTTAACGCGTTATCTGTCGATCAGGGAAGATCGACTATCGGTAAATTATGATGTATGTAGTTCCACTGGTCATTGACTAAATAATGGGACTTCGTATCTCCCATACTGAAATACCGACATTGAAAAAAGCCGAAGTGTTTCTTAACGCCCTCTACGACTTGGTACGACCAACATAGGAATTATATTTACAAGCAGCAAGGAAAGTATGCAAGGTAAAATATTCAACTAAAGTAATAATACTTTATTTAAAATACCACCCTTAATTTTGCATACTCTTAATCACTATTACTTATATCGTATTTACGTATTCAAGTACTTATTCAGGTACTTTCAGGAACAGATTAGTGCTTCTGGAAAGCAATACTTTTTAGCAGTATCAAATATTCCTAGGAAGCAGCAGTTTTGAACAAAACATTGAAAGCATCATTTACTACTTCCAAAAACTCTAATTGGAAATCTAATTTATCATACCTAACGCTAATTCTTAACGCAAATTTAATAAAAATTTTATACTACAAATTACAATATTATAAAGTTAATTAAAACTTTCAAATCTAACATTAAATGACCGGAAACGAGATGAACTTTAATATATATTGATCTTCAAGAAGTTCTAACAATTTATAATCAAAATCACTAAAGACAATCGCGCTGTCATAATTCGCAACACTAAAGCAAACACGATTATCATTCTTTCGCAACTCTAATCCAAACCGTAATCATTCTATCGTGACACTAATAAAAGCCGCGAAATTTTTACGCAACTCTAATTTAAACCGTAATTAATTTCTCGCAAACACTAATAAAAAAAACGCGATTTACCCAACGTGGTTAAGGACCGACATATATATCGGCCAGAAAAAAAATACTATAACTACAACTACTAAAAGCGAGCATAGTGACAAAGTAGTAACGAATGACTTTCCATGCTCTGGGTGATCCAGAGAATGGAAAGTCATTAGTAGTTGCTCTATTGAATGGCAGTTTGCCGAGCCTCTTCGGCTTGTAGCCTCTTCTTTCTTCGAGCGCAATGCCCGCTGAAACTTAGATCTAGACTCGAGTCTCTCTAATCACAAAATAAAAAATAACTTACAAAGGTAAAATAAAAATATAAATCGCGGACACTATTCCCCGTGTACATGGATGAGCAAGGATCATAGTGATCACTGCCCGTTCGCATGTGCATGCTCGAGCAATAAATAAACGTTCGCTTCGAGACCCACTCGCGATCGCGACCACGATATTCGAAAAATCGATGGATAAAGCCAGAGACGAGTTTCTCCACTCGTACCAGCTTTACCGTCGATTTTTCAAATTAAATTTCCTGAAACAGGTTGGACACGAGAAACGCGCCTACCCGACCAGAGACTGTGCCAACCTGCCCGGCCCTACCTACTTATAATTAACATTCACACCAGAAAGTAAGCTATATCTAACATAGCCCTATATTTAAAAGTGACAAAACAGGCACACCAACACACTCACTCCACGATTCTCTCACATACCACCCGGGCGCAAGGACCTATACTAGGGAGACGTCCCGGGACGTCTCCGACACCCGAGTTTGACACTCAACTTTCATACTCTAACTTTTACGTACCTTTTTCCTGAAATCGACTGGCGATGGCTAGCGACCATCATACGTTACGTGTATATTGAAATTCTAATTATGTTTTTAATATATTTCAATGTTAACTTTAATTAATACTCATGATCATATTGTATAAATATTCATAATCTTGTATTATATCATTTGAAAAATTAGGATATTCTTAGACTAAATGGTATAATATTTAATACCATTGTAATTTAATATAATTATATATTACTATTGCATTAATAACACTTGTGAAACTCATTAATATTTCAGAATTATATGGGTTGAAATAAGAAGAAAACGACGTAGTTCCACGACCTAATCACACACACAATGTAGAAAATACGTCGTGCTCGATACACTAACGCAACGTCAGTCGCTGAGACAATGTTAAACATATAAACTATAGTCATCATGCCCACCGCTTTTCTCCCACCCAAGTAGCACCTGAGCACGTGAGTGAGATCCTGGCAATGGACATGGAAGGGGTTAAACCTGAAAATCCTAAGCTAAAAATATGATAAGCGTATCTATTACGTTTTGTATCTAACGGGCTAATATTCGTTAATTAAAGTCTACTTTATACTTTATTCTATTAATTTAATGAATTACTGAAATGCTAAATTTGAATGAAGAGTTAATATTTATTCACTTGTTTTTTATCATATTTCAAAAAATAAATTGAGCTTCAAAATAATACAAATAGTATTTATATCAATAAATAATAATAATGAACTCTACATGAAATATTAATAAAAATATCCTCAGGCAATTCTTCCATCAAAACACATCTTTGGAAACTAAGAAACATTCAAAACTTGTTTTGATTCTGAATCTGCCTGTCGCGAAGTGTTTTCTTGTACGTAACATTTGATACATTCTTGGACGGACAAAATTAGACTCCATACCTTTATATTTCACATTTAAAATTTTACTGAAATTTTACTGTCTATGGAACTCGAACAATAAAATTGTTCCACATTACCGCAAAACACAAGATAAAATTAAATATCATTTATAATAAAAATCAATAATAGCATTAACAGTGAGTATAATAATTTCAATCATAATTGCAATTTTCATAATGAAATCGGAGGATATCCGACTTCTCCACTACAGAATACTTAAACGAAACTATTTTCATATTCATTGTTTACTCACATATGTTTGTTGAGTATTTGATATTTGCAAATATAAAATCATTCTGGATATACTTCCTCTCCTCTATTCATTCTTCATGTGTTATTATCAACATTCGAAAACGCGGTGTACAAGAAAACCTATCCTGAACTGATAAATAAAACACATACAAGAAAATGTTACTACTCGCGAGTATAATAAATACCCGCGGTCACTATGCTCGTCAAAAATTCAACGTAATACAACCAGTCACCCGTGTTGCTTCAAACCTTTCATTCTACAACATGATTGAGTGACCAGAGGAACAAAAATGCATGCGACTCACGATTAGTTGCGAAGAACGTTGTCATCGATGTATTGTGCCCTATGGAACGTCATCGTGAAGCCTATCATTAGACAGGAATCGTTGAATCCCATGAAAAAAAGTAAAGACTGGAAGAAATCTATAACAAAGCATAGAATATTATTGTACAATTCGTCCTTAAAGACAGTGTTAATTATTTAGAAAGTTTGAAATAACAGAAGATTGATCTCTATAAAACATAAAATTTTAACTTGTCTTTATTGTTGTCATATTGTATTAATTGTCATAAAACTTTGACTTGAATGAAAAATTTTAACTTGTCAAATTTTCAATCAAATTCCATTTTTTAATTAATTATAGTTGACATAAAATACAAGGAATTAAATGAAGTACAAAATACAAAGTTACTTACATTCTTGGTTTTTTAAGCATCACTAAGTCCTTTCCAGGAAACAGGATGAAAAGGAAGGAATGAGAAACCTTTAACAAAATATGAATTCATATATATGAATAATTCCTTCTAAAAAATATGATGATTGGTTAATAATGTATATCGATTAAATATTAAATAACTGTCAGCATTTAACCAATAGAAAAAGAAAATAAACATATAAATACGTTTGACTTTATTAAAATAAATCAAATATTACCATTAGTCATCATGGCGTCCTTTTGAATTTTGTGGCGCCATTTGTAATTTCGTTGCATGTTCCTAACATCTCCAAATTTTCCGCGTAGTCGAGCAATAATCTGCACAAAAAAAAAAGCCGAAACATTATAACAAATGTATAAAAAGCAAATTATGTACAAAATGAAACAATAATCAAGCTCAAATTGCGTCTTGAAGGCTCATTATACGATCTACCGGCAAATGTAATAATCAACAAGACGATCGAAAAAAAATAGATAATCAAATAATAAATTATTTACTATAAATTATTCAATTAAAAAACGTATGATAAGTAAACGAAGTTACAAGAACGTAAGTGATAAAAGAATGATTATGAAAATATGTACTACGTAGTATAGAAATCGGTACCTGCCACGGAGTGACACCGATACACATCTAATCGCTTCGAAATTTGACATTAGACTGAACCCCTGCGGCGTAATTTGCCCTACGAATTTCGGAGTGGGGAAACTCCCCGGCAAGTCGATCACGTACGAACAGAAGTCGTCAAATTCCTGCAAAGGACGTTTTCGGTAGCAATACGTATTTCAATAGAACGTCTGAGCTAATACGTATAATTTGAACGAACAGAATTTATGGTTTTTTTATTTTATTTCTTCATTTATCATTCCTTAACTTAAACAATACAAACTTCTATACTGAAAAAATTGTTAAAGATAAAGAATAAAACTACATTCATGGATAAAATATTCTCCATTTTTAATTTAAAATTTTCCAATACACGTATATAAAATATAAGTACAAGCATTCACAAGTAACGCATTTGCACATGTTTTTAAATATTATCAAATCTGAAGTTCTTCCTGTAAAATATTATACCTGTTTTTTAGACTCTCAAATCAGGGTTGAAAAATATTTTTTTAATTGATAAATGTGAAAAATTTACCATTTCGATAATTATAATTTATATATTGTATAAATAAGGAAAATTATATTGTTTATATTTTCAATATAGCATGTATAGATTGAAATTCATATTAGAAACAGAAATTACAATCATCATTTTTAATTGTCGAAAAAATTATAAAACCTTTAACAATACTCCACAATTACAAACACAATTGCAAACATAACACAACTCATATAACATCAATTTTTCGTACCGGATCGTAAAGGATATTCAATACCTATTATTTTCTTCGTTTTAGTTAGTAAATTCGAATACTGTGCGTATATATACTGTGTGTATATATACGTTATACATACAATAAATCGAATTTGATTATAATTTGATACATCTTTAATCTAATAACTTAATTTTTACTATATCTAACGCACCAAAATATTATAATAGAATCCGATTACAAATTTCCATCCATATTATTCTATACATTTCACACATGTATGTGAAAGTGACACAATTCAACACTCACACAACACAAGTTTTTCAGGAAAAACGAAACACTATGTGCAAGCTTAAATGGAATGTGTGATTCTCCATTTTCAGTCCTGAAAATCCTTCTTTGACGGTTTTGATGTTCTTCGATCACATGACTAAATTATTTTGATACGGTGACACTTATTGTGACATTTTCGAAATACATGTGCAAATTGTACGAAATTATAAAATATCCATCAAAATATTTTAGTATATTATAAATTTAGTATAAATATTAGGTGCTCTGTAAATAACTATCGATTATACTCATTTTAAAATATATACATGCAAACACACCTTACCAAACATTCATACCTGTATATGTTACAAACACATATAAAGCTTCTTATTCCTCGCACCACATTCTTCAAAAACAAACAGAGAATAACGACGACAATCACATTCATCCTTCAAACATTTCAAGCTGATGTCTCCGCGGTATTTTTTGGAGTATTAGGTGTACGATAAATTCCACTGAATAAAATAGTACGAGTTGGTTTCTCATAGATGAAATACAAGAAAGGATGATTCGCATTAAAAATTGCCGGTTGCAATGGTCGTCCAGATCGGAAAGTGTAGAGAGCAGTAGCTGCAGCTGCAGTGGTGCCCTCTTCAGTGACTTCGATTCGCGCACGATGGACAGCGTCGCCCAAATGCAATGGATTTTCACCATCCTTAACGAAACCTCGAAGATCGGCAGCATTAGGCATTACCAATTCGCCTGCACCGATTGCATGAAGCAGCGTGCTTATTGGAAGATCCTTTTCGACTTCAAATCGCGGTAAGATAACATCGACTTGTTGAGGTGGTATACCGGAATCCAAGAGATCGCGGAGTTCTGTGGATCCTAATTCGGTGGAAATGCGTTCTATCAGTTGACGAACACTGTCTCTTTCCCCGTTTTGCTCAACGTCAGCGGTGGATTTTGCGATGGAAACAGATGGTGGGAGAAGGACGAACATTGAGATTTCATTGCCTTTATACGGCAGTTCTAGCACGTGCGCGCCAAGTACTTCGGAAACGACTGTAAGGAAAGATTATTTGTATTTATTTCTATTTATATATATTTGCAATGATATAATATGATTATAGCTTTCCTAGGCGGGCAAAAGAATATAAGTCAGAATTATTAGTCTTGTAGAGACGCACTTACAACATTTGAATTGCAATGTAAGATTAGGTGGTTAGATTTTGGATATGAAAGTTTATAATATGCAATGTCTTGTCCCATTTTACTTACAAAATATATACAGTATACTCGATTTAAAAACATTTTTCTTCTTTCGAAACTGATGACTTATTCTGACTAAAATTTTTAGTTTGACTTTTATTTATTTGACCAAACAGAATTTGTAACAATTAAAACGTTTTGCAACCAATTAAAAGCATATGTAAAAAGATCAATGTAGAATATATTAGCATACTTATCCTATTTTGATTAAAAATTTGAATTATACTCTTTTCGCCCATCACAGATTTCTGTAGATAAATTTTAGTCTTTCATAAATTTAAGATGTGTAACTTACGATGATTGAAATGTCCTGACTGCTTCATGAATGTAGTCATGGAATGTTGAGAGTTCGAAATGTAGAAAATATCTTTCTTAGAATTAGTTGGATTGAAACGACTTTCCCAAAGACCTTTGAAATATACTGCGTTAGCCAGGACCAAATCAGTATCTGCTCCAATACTGTTAACAGGAAGAAGATCGCGGATATGTCCTTTGGTCATGTTGCTCACCCATTGATTAATGTGATCACGAACCGCGTTTGGATTAGTATGAAAATCAGTCTTTTCCAGTTGGTCTCCAAATAAGTCCAACATACAATCTCGTACCTTTCTCGTGCTCGATATCCATAATCGATTCGCTGAGTTATACTCGTAACCTCGTGATGAATTCTGAATAGAGGAAGAAAACTAATTTAATGATTCATTCTCTAAATACTTCAATGCTATAATTTTAATGCTATAAAAAAATTCTGGTATTTTGGGATTACATTTCCTATTTATACCCCTTGCCTATTTTACGATAATATTAAGTATTATATTAATTATTACTGCATCAAAATTCATTAGCAGTAGCGCAGAAACTATTATTTACTTGCGATCGTCATAAATTTCATTATTTCCAGACATAACTTTTACAAAATTATCTAGCTACTAAAAAATAGAAAAATTTCAAGTAATGTAAAAAAAGATATTCTTTAGCCGAACATTATAGTCGCACCAACTCGTCACGAACAAAGGCAAGAATTATATAACTGATCAAATAAAATTGTTTACTTTATCTCATCCATCCACGTCGAGGAAACAAATATTACTCACGCGTTACATTCATAACTTTTGATTAAGAAATTCTATAGAGCTCTGAGGTCAAAACGCTTCCTACTTGAATTTCAATAAGTTCAACTACCTCAAAGTATCTAACTATACAGACTGCCAAGTCTAATCCGTTAAGAAGTGAAACAATACCTAAAAATTACGTAACATTACTGTGTAACAGTAGGTAACAACAAAAGGCATACATAGTGTTTTGTTAAAGTACAAAAAAATATATCAAAATAATATTTAAATAGTCAAACTTAGTAATAAAAAAAGGTGATTTCAAGTAAACTTTCAAGACGAGAAAGAGTATTGGACAAATCCTTGTAGTTTGCTTTCATAATTATAATTTTAAAAAGTAGAATTTATTGATGTTACGATTATGTGGCTCGCCTTGAAATACTTGCAAACACAAACGATAAATTATGCAACAGTTCCAGTTAAATCCTCACCTCTTGGTCACCTTGATTTTTGAGGGAATTCTCGTAAGCGTAATATCGTTGCACATCGACCTTGGACAGATCGTTAGGTAGGTGCAAGGCTTTTTTTAAGGAGTCCTCGGTGGTGCCTCGAGCACCGAAGTACGCCAAGGTCAGAGCCTGGTGAAGACTATGCGGACTGTAGAAGATGTTATCGCGTGATTCGATCAAAGACATCTTCTTAAGAGTATCGAGAGCGAATTCGAATCTCGAATTGATCACACCTTTCTTCGAGCCAACGCTCATCGTCGGAGGACTGTCGTTTCCGGTGAGACATTGTGCTGATACGTAAGTTACCAGCAATAGAACTGGTAACACCGACATTGCCTGAAAGAAAGAATGATTGTTGAGAAAATAACATTCTAAAAGTCTCTGAAGAGTCTCTCCTTCAAAGGAGTTGAATTATTGATAATAAGAAAATATGAAGTATTTAAAGTATAATAAGGGGAATTTAGGTATAAAGCAGTTTGGAATAGATATTACTATTTATTTGTTAGGATTTGTTTGATGAGCACGGTACACTTGCAGCTTTTTATGGAAAGAGTATGAATGGACGCTGGGGCGTTTGTATATTTTAAGTTGAAAGCAAGAAGTAAAAAATCGAATATACAATTATATAATTATGGTGAAATAAAACAAAGAACGTAAAGGAAAATACGAAAGACCAGAAACTAGGAAATTGAAACGAAATACATGCGTAGCTTACGCAAAGTTAAATTGCACCCTTCGGAAACGTCTACGGACGTTCGAGTAATTTCCTGTATCATTATAAAACTCCGAGTGAACGGCATTTCCATTTTATCATTGTGTCATCGTTGTTACTAGCCTCTATAGTCGCACAATTATAAACATTAAAGAAAACAAATAAAATGAGGAAAGTATTTTCAATCCAGCAGCTAGACGTTTCGCAACCTCTTCACATTTCGGTAGCCGTGACCTCTAATCGTAATTTATACAAGTTCTGAGATCACGATCGTAAGGTCAACAAATAAATCGTCACACACGTCATCCATATCTACGACACTTTTATGTCAAGCAGGGGAAGAGTTTCGTGTAGGAGTCACGCTCTATTTAATCACAATAACTTGCTTTGCAATTTTAGTGGTATCAGATACACTTATTTAGGGCAGAACTGGTTTTGTGCCCACGATGATAATCGTAGATTATGACAGTATCTCATTGTTCGTTAAAATACAAGTTTGAAATTTTTTAATTTCTTTTGTGAAGGAATAAATTTATGTTAAAATAGTTTGTTATGTTAGATTATCTTATGTTAAAAATAGTTCACAATTGGACAACGTTTGAATTAAATTTGTACTACTTGCTATAGAATAAACTGATACTAATATTTTACTTATCTATTATTAATCTTTCAATCCATTATTAAAATTATATTCATGCATATATAAAAATATATTTGACATCAATTTTACAGAAAATTTCATATAATTTAACATTTATTATCTCTCTGCCCTAATCTGTATTTTATTATATGAAAATACTCTAGTCTACCATATTATCAACAAAACAACTACCATTTTAGCAAGGCTAGTATATTTTTAAAATTACGACATCAGTCAATTATATGTTTGGAAATACCGTCATCATTTTTTAAAGAAATATCAACAAAATATTGACTCATTCGGAATGATTTAAATTTATAGTTTTCTTCTAGAAATGTTTTCATTGCCGATATCTTCCTCCGCGAAAAATTCATCGGTCTTCAAAAGAATTACTAAAGGACGGTATAAAATAGAAAGTAATGTATTCTGCTAATGATTAGGGCTAACTTCGTTAAAAACGTAAGATAAATATGGAAATGTTTTCTCGAAGGGTTCGGAACGTAATGGTAAAATTAGTGAAAATTACACGATCTGGGACGAAAGCAAGATAAACTTTGAGGCGAGTGAAAGCAACGAGCAAACCGTGACATCATAGTGTCCGGCTTTCTTGGTTGAAATTGAAGTATGACGAGCCTCGTATGACGAAAGCAAGAGAAAACACAACCACGCCTGTACAGTTTGTTCCTGATAACATACTACTTGTGGCACGTGGGAAACTTGCATGAATTATTCCACTTTAATTTCGCCTTATGCAAATACTAATACAGAATTTACGTAATTTCTTGCGACTTTCCAGTTCCTCGTTTGACAACCTTCAATTTCATCCCGTTCCACTGTTTACTATTTCATTATACGTTCTTCGGAACGAAACGCTCCGTGATTTATGAGAATTGCATCGTGTAATTTCTATTTTACACCTTTCAAGATTTTCTCCTATTTCCACGAAGTACTTTTACTTGTTTCAGTACTTAAATATTTATTGCCATTTTCTATTTGACTTGCTATATTCTTTTTTTTTTCATTATGTGTCTATCCTTTTATAAAAATGTTTCATCTTATGTTAGAAACAAGAGTGGAAATAATTTATTACGATACTGCGAATGGTTATGAATTCATAGCAAGTATAAAGATTCAAAAATCCACAGGATGCGCATAATACGAAATTTTTCAACAGCGTAAAAATAATATGAAATATGAAATCTAGAAACTCAAATGCGATGATCAGATAACTTGTATAATTTACTAGCAGAAGATTTTATTATCAAACTTGTTAATATTATACGGAAATTGTTTATCGATACTAGTAACTGGTAACTTGTAAAATTTTACTACGATTGTACAGTATAGCACAGGCAATAGCAGTTCACTATTTTACTGAAATCTTTCTCTCCGCAATGACATTGGATTTTTTCGTAATTTTTAACAGTACCAGTATTCACGAAGACATTTAAAATCTAACAATGCCAACAGAGACAATCGGCGAATAACAAGTGAATTCTTCGAACAGATACGTGTCCAACTTAACAAATAAAGCACGTATCACGCGTGTAATCAACCGCAGCCTAGCCTATACACAAAGTCAAATTAAAATCGAATTAACGCAATTCGTCAATCAAAAAGTAATACAATAATGACTGTACCAACGTTCCTTGTAAACGTTATAGTCAATTAAATTCTTGTGATTATGATTCCTCCTTGATGTAATACGAATGAGTAAAAATGTGAGTTAAAGACTGTCCTTCATGGTTCGAGGAAGGCTGATCGTAAAACAAAGCAACGAACATTTTCACTTCTATATGAGAAACTTAACAGCGTGAAAATATTAATGGGAATCAAAATATGTAGGTTACAGAAAATTAGTCAGATGCCAAAAAAATGACACATATTTTTTAAATTTTTACGAAACAAGTGATTGGGGAAAATTAGTTCATTTTTATTTGAATGGAAGAAAGTGGTCAGTAAATGTGAAAGAGGTTTTTAAAATAAATTAAGTAATTAAGAAATATTCATTTTTAAGTATTCCACAAGTTACAAATAATTGTTATAAATAATTAAACTTTGTCTGGATACCGGTGACTATCATCGATGACGGAAATGTTTTCGATTACGAAAAATCATGAATCAATTTTTCCCAAAAATCATAAAATGCAACTTGTGATCTCAACCGAGTTGTCAATTTACCTACTACAGCAGTTATTACAATGGTAAACAACCAATTTGAAAGATATATAAACCTACAGAAATAGAAGTATTTGATTGAAACAGAATATTTGAAGCACACACGATAGAATATTATTGACTTGATATCGGATCGATACGAGGTATGGAAAGAAACGATGGAAAGCGCAAAAAGTGTATACAACGAGATAAGTTATCACAGTTGAACTTTTCATTACGAAGACAACAAGAGTCATGTATAAAATATCACCCTTCTAGATTTAATAGGAAGTATTTACGTAAAATCTCTGATAACTAACGAACTCGTTACTTAAACATCGTTTAACTTAAATTATATATAAAATAAAAGAACTATTTCATTTTAGGAACAACTAACTTCTGAAGCGTCAATACATGCAACAATCGATGCATCGATACAATTTTCATCAAACTAATAGGATCTCCACAGACAACCTAGCTTCTCATTACAAAGATCAAATCTTAATGCGGCTGAGACAATGAAGATCTACGTTAACTCTACGTCGTTTCTACTGAATTCTAAATCGAGACTTCATCGAAGCGTCACCACTCACCGGTTTGAAAAACATTTCGTTGATCTGCACCTTCTTGCTTTCTAGATTTTCAAATTGTAAACTATCGGCTTAGATACGAAAAAACGTCCGACTGTTGCTCGCTACGAAACTGAACTGAGTGCGGAGAAGGAAAAGCAGAGTCACCGAGATGCCCGCGAGTAACTGGCTCCTCGACCACTTCCCCACCACGAGTTTTGCTCGTGAGTGGAGTCACATTTATTCATTGGACGCGAATCCTTTCCAGCGCAACAGCGCAAACCAACATTCACAAAGCCGATAGGTCGTTACTTCTGCGATATTGGAAATGCCTGATAGTAATGACTTCATTGTCAGGAAATCCCATACGAAGTCGGTGGGGGAACTACGTCATAATCGGAAATCGTCGATACAATTCATTATGTATGCGTAGCTATGCGTACACTTTCAATACATAGTTAGTTGTTCCGATGAAAGCGGATGTTAGGGTTGATAAACTGATACCTAAGTATCTTTGCAGAATATTTTCGTCATACCTGCGGCATAAATTAGTTTACTTGCGAGTACTCGTACAAAACCCGTAAGCTCGTAATTCTAATTAACATATAAATCGAGGCTAACGTATGTAAACCAGAGATAATACACCAGCTTGGTAGGTTTGGCTCCTCAAATTACATTTTCCTCGGTACTCTGTGCGGGTGACTCAAGGTTATTGAACTTGTTTGATTGCATTTAATTATACTACATTTTAAATAATTTTTCTCAACGACAGTCACTGGCACGAAGTCTATCCAATGTTCGAATTAACTTTTTAACGTTTGAGATTCTATAGAAAAGTGAGAAATGAATAACAGAGCGAAGACAATAAAAATATATAAAACAGAAAAGTATAGATATAGGAGATAATAATATTCCAAATACAAAGTAATATTCTCACTTTTATACGTATAAATAAAACATAAGACGTTTAAAAATAAAAATGCAATTACGAAACGATAATAACAAGTACGATACAATAATTGGCGCGTATATATAAACGATATAGATAATCGCTATTTATTTATTTTATAACTACAAGAAGATAGGAAAGATGTCAAGTGTCACAAGAAAGATGTCGTCGTTCCATCAACTCAAGCTGAAGCAAAAACTAGATTCACTGTAAGAACGTTCACCCTTTTTATCTTCACCAGTAATAACTTCCTCCTTCGACGCCATTTAAGGCGATCGACATCAGGAATGTAGTTCTATTTGACTTCTTAGAATCGCAAATTAACGCTAATTTTACGAGTAACGATCTTCGCTAGATTAATTCTTTCACCTCAACGACGTTAATTCACAATTTTCTAAATTTATTCTTAGACTGCGAATGTTCACGCATTTTTAGAAACCTTGAGATTTTAATAATTTATATTACATATAAATGCATATAATATGTAAAAATATATGAGATATTTAAAGTAGAGCAACCTAAGTATTATTGATATTTGGTATATGAAACAAATTTCTATTTAGATTCTATTTGCTTAACTATGTCCATAAAAATACAAAAATTGCATCTATTCATTACATTAAATGAAAATTTCATTGTAATTTTCATACTTTATATTTATTATAGTCTGTGTTTCATGTTTCTTCAAATTGAATATTTTTAATCCTATCAGATTAAAGCACGAGAGTTGGAAATGAATCACAGTTCCTTGCGTTTTCAGAAAGCGTTCTTTGGAATTTTCTCCTCGTTTCCCCCTCTTCCAGAATTTATTCAGTGAATAAAGCAGGCTCCTTTTCAAAGCGTTGGCCAATAGCCAGAGAAAGTAACTCGAAAGGAGTGTTAGTTCCTTGGTGAGTTCTCGAAAATCAAGTCAAGACCGTTTAAACGGCTACAACAAGAGCGATCAATAAATCTGTCATAAGATTTATTAGAGATAATTAAGCGACATTGACTCCTGTTGTATGATTGAATCTTTCCAATTGAAAAAGAAATCAAGTTATTAACTATAGAAATGAATTCTTTTCGATTTTTGCGTAAAATTGAAATTCAATTTATCGGAAATAACTCATTTCTACACCTATTACTTTCTGCATTTCTACGAGCAAATTAATATAATTTTCTTCGAATCGTTATTCTTACGATCCTTTTATCGCTCGAAAAATCGAATCATTTCCTACATTCTTAGAATATTATAATAATCTTCTATATATCTTTGTAAACTCTTCAATGTCTTCTAATTAATATTTTCGCTATTTTTATTATCATTTCATTGCTGGTAGTATATTTTTCTTCTCGTATAAGCTCGAATTTTCTATGATATAAACATTAACAATTTTTAACTACTCCAACTTCGATCTCGATTAGATATCGTTCGAATATCTTTTCCGTTTATTTTTTATTTAATCAAGACGAACTCGTCGTAGTTATTCAAGGAAGGAAAAGATGCTATTAGATTCTTTAATTGATCTTACATAAGAGTAACAAGATATGTTTTCCTTCGCTGTATTTCATCTGTTATTGCGAAAGAACAATTCCATTCCATTGTTCTGTCTCTTCTCAGTCATAACTGAGAGCGACCAGTTGTTAATTACGTATAGATGTTAATGAGGAACCTGGAAATTCCACAGCTCTACTTACAACGCATTGCTTTTACCGTTGATTAACCGTAACAAGCTGAAAAGCGAAGCTCCGTATCGTATTATACAATACAATATGATTACGTATAAAGAGACCGTCAGAATGAAAAGCCCTCGTTGTTATTGTGACAGCAACGATCGAAAGGCATCACTATGCGAGACACTTTTGTAAGGTATCTTTAAAATTGTACAATTGTATCGTATAATCTAAAATTTGAAAGTAGATTAATAAAACTTGATAAAAATTTAATTAATTAAAATTATTTAAAATTCAAAATAATAAAAAATTTTCAAAGATTCCTGGTATACTAGCAGAATTTCTATGAAAATATCATTATATATTGAATATATGATATTTCTTTTATGTCCGCAATATTTTTAATGTTGTTTCTTCTATCTCTAGAAGAACGAGTGTCTAGATATTCAGAGGTGAGAGTTATGTTATTACATTTTATTTGTTTTACGATCTCTGACTAATAATAAGATAGTAAGTAATATCTTTAATATTTGAACTGTCTGGAAAAGTTTGACGAGAGAAATGACAATATTACGACTTATGCTATCTATGGCTTATGATTGTTTTAAATTCCCTTCTCATATGTCAGAAGAATCAATACGTTTTATCGTAGTGTCTATGTTATTTGATGATACAAAGCCCATAGCTACGAAAATTCAGATATACATAGGCACGGTTATTACACTTTGGGGACTGTCAAAGACGATAAGAGATATCAAATCATTTAATTAAACTTTCAACCACTCTAGAGTTCCTTATACCTAATAAATACGTGAAATTTGCAAAATGGAATTTACGCGTAAGTATATTTTATTAAAGTATGAAATACCCAAATTAACGGTTTGACTGTTAAATATCAAAGTATTAAGTAAATTAATTAGTTGTTAAGACACTGAATAAATAAGTAAACCGAAATATTTTTATTTTAAACGATTTAGTTGATTTTAAATTCTCTTATACCGAACATAAGAACGTTTTGTAAGAACTCGAAACGCGAATATTTTTTTCCATATGAAGTACATTTCATGTATGCTTATACACCTACATATTACAATTTACGCTCTTTCATAAGGTTCCATTATAAAAAGGCATAAAATACAAATTTTATTATATATCGTATAATTTATTATTGAAACTAGAACTTGTACCATAGTCCCCTAAAAAGCAACTTATATTACTCTATAAAAATGTTCTGTAACAAGCATACGAATAGTTTCATAATATATTACAAACACAAAACGCAAATCTACATATCCAACATCTACATTACTCCACAAGATACAAATCATCGTATATGACAACGACTTACCTGTAAATTTCTCACCAACATCTTTCACGATGGTCAAAAGGTTCTTCAACGACTTTAGTCTT